TTATGGCATCGGCGATCGAAACTTTGGTGAAGCAAGCAATGAAAACATTTGGTGATCGCCGGCTTTGTCAGAAAAACTTTGATAAATTGAAGAATCTAATAAATAATATAACTACGGAGGATATAAAACTTGATAAACGTGTTCTTGATTATGTTAGCAAACAGCCAGCACCTATGTGTGTGATGGATATATTTGAAAATGAAAACTTAACAATTGTGATTTTTATATTAAAACATGGCGTTAAAATGCCTATGCATGATCATCCTGGGATGCATGGTTTGTTGAAGGTAAAAACATACAGTGTTGCTTATGTATTTTATGATGTATAAAATTGATCCATACAAAATGATTTATTTTAATTGTAACAAATATTGCAAAACGAAATTATTTTATAAAGAAATGTTTCATATAAAACTTGTATGCTTTTGTAGAGTTACATTATGATATTAATTTATTTATATTTTTGTAAATATATTATTTAACAAATATGTTTACATTTTTTGTTTCCTGTTGCAATATTTGATTATTAAGATTAAAATAATTCACTATGACACATTATAATTATCTATTCTTAGCAAATTAAATAAAATTAATTAATTATAGGTGATCAGTGGTATGGTAGAATTAAGCAGCTATAGTTTGAAGACAAAAGGTGATCATGTAATTAAAGCAAATGAAGAGATCACAGCAGTTAGACATCGACCTGTATCTCTTCATAGTAATTCATCTGTTTGTATTTTTACGCCAATGGAAAAGAATCTTCATGAAATTTTGTGTGTGGAGGGTCCTGCAGCTTTCTTGGACATACTCAGTCCACCGTATGATGTTGATGAATTCGGTAAAGGAGAAAGACCATGTACATTCTTCAAAATTGTCAAGTCTAATTTATGTACAGAATCGACAGATATAATCGAAGAAGTTCAATTATCTGTTGTTGAAAGTCCACCAGACTTTTATTCTTCGAGTTTAGAGTATACAGGACCTCCCTTAAAAGATCACTATAATTAAAATAAATTTTTTTCATATTCTGATTTGTAAATTTTGTATTTGCAATGCTTTGCATGATTGTGTAGTATATAGATTTTCACGTAATCTTTTTTTTATGTAATCCTGTTTAAAGTTTACATATTTTGTATAATTGGAAAATGCAATCATATGTTCATATTATAAACTTGTGAAAACTTGCAAATTCAATTTCAATTTTTATTTTTATGTCTTTTTATGTCTGTATTTATAGATATAATATATACAAAAATTCTATCATTATTACTTTGCGTTGATGACATTATTTTAAGGTGTTCTTTTTTTCAAATGTCTGGGATCACTTTTAGAGAACATAAAAATCGATGTTTCTAAACGTATATTGTTCAAATGATAAGAGATATCAAAAAAATGTTTTAAACAAATTTAAGAAAAGATGCGTTTCTTATTTTGATTTAAACTATAACATATCCAAAATCAAAGGGTAACATATTTTTTATTAAAGTTATCTTTTTTAGGTTAGTTTTTAAGATATAAATTACGATTTAGAAAGCTATCTATTATAAAATTAAAATCATCATATAATCACGCTAAAATGCACGCTGATCTCAATTTTGTCTCACTATATTCAATTAAGCATTCGTGATACTACAGTTCATACATATTGATTGTATTATTATTCCTATTGTATTATTTCTATCAAAAATTAGACAAGAATTCAAAGTATTAAGAAATTAGTGTA